TATACTTTATTAAAAATCTATACAATTATAAAATATAAGAAACAATGGGATGAAAACTGCTTCTACTTTGTGACCAAATTTGGTGTCTTTCAAGGCATTTGTGTGGGAAATGAAGAGTATTTTCTTGAAATCAAATTCATTAAAAACTGAATCATTTGAGAGGAAATTCATCAGAATATAAGAAGTAATACAACAAATTCAATGCAAATAATGTGCAAAATTCTAATATTAAAAGTATTGATATTATATTCGTTCATAACCTACAGCTTAGCCGAAGGTATGTTTGTTTGCAAAAAACTAATACAATTTGAGATCAATTTATAAACTAAACTAAAAATAAATTGCAAATAAAACTTTGTTCAGAGGCGACGACGGATTGTCCGCATGAATGCAATGATAATAAATCCAATAAATCCGATACGATTTGTGCCTCAAATGGAAACACTTATGAATCGATTTGTCGGATGAAACTGTTTAACTGCAGGTAAGTATTCACTGCCGTTAAGACTCTTAACTCCAGTGCCTCTAAATCTAATAATTCATCTCAATTTCTAAACCTTATATAAATTGAATCCCAAAAAAAGTCTAACACAAGTGGATTGGGAGCACTGCAGGGGAAGACATCCGTTATGTCCATCCGATTGCCTCGACATTCAGGATCCGGTTTGCGCTGGTATTGCACTCATCATTATATTTGACCATTAAATTGAGTTTTAAACTGCTTTTTGTTTAATATAACACTAATTTATGTGAATGTGACCGAAGAGGACGGCAAGTTTTATCCAAACAAATGCATTCTCCATAAGAGAAATTGCGGGTATTATTCAAACAATAACTTTCTCTTTGAAATTAATGTTTTAATTGCATATTTACGACAATTGACAGCAATAAAATTGCTGAGAAATCGCCTCTGTTTTGCTTCGGGAGGAATAGACGTGAGTTCCCTATAGTTGTCATACTCTATACATGTGTTTCTTATGTCCAAACAAACCGACTATAAGTAATTCTTTAAGAATAGTTTTCCTTTTTTCCCCATCGATATAGACATGACTTTCCTTACATTTAAGTAATTTCCTTACATTTCGCAGCTTTTGTGCGATTAATCGTTACAATGAAACCATTTGTTAAACTTATAGTACATTCATTTAACTCACTTTTTTCGGAGCAATTATTTCTTAGATCTTTGAAACAGAATTACTTTTATCTGAAAATCTTTACAATAAATACATGCAATTAAATGGATAATGCTTTCAGAGGGACGAGCTCTTGACAGCTGTCCGGACACGTGCTTAGAATTCCCAAAACCCGTTTGTGGAACCGATGGACAGATTTATCTGAATGAATGTCAATTAAGACAAATGAATTGCGAGTAAGACATGGATTTAGAGTTGTGTTGTGAACATTAAAATCATGAATAGTATTCACATTCAAATCCAATTATAGCCAAGACGTCAAAGTGGTGCCAATGAATCAATGCGCCAAGAAATCCAGGTATGAAATTACATTTTAATCATGTTATATAACTGTAATAGATTTGTAATACAAAACTCGCAAATATATTCACTAATTAGTTTTATTTCATTTTTTAATACATTTTGATATTGAATTTCAGTTGTCCGGGTATGTGATCATTGATTTACAAAAAAGTAATTAAAATCTATATAAGATAATTGTGAAAACAATTTGCATTTAACAGAACAATGTTTGGCAATCTATGATCCCGTTTGCGGGTAATTATGAACATTATATTCTCATTGAAAGCAATAAAACTCGTGATTAATTATTATAAAATTCTATGACTTTAAATGATAGCTCTGATGGCAAAGTATATCTAAATCACTGCAAAATGCTGTACGAAAACTGCGAGACAAGTATTAAGCGAATGCCTCTTAGGTTTTGTGTTGGAGATGACGAACAGAAGCTCTAAAAACATATAACGATTGGTTGAGCGATAAAAATAAACTAAACAATACATGCGTTTCAATAAATAAATACAATAAATGGATGAATAAAATAGTAATTATTAACAAATTGTTATTCTGTAAAAAAAAGTTATTCATTTAATGCAGACCTCATTTTGAGGCACACTTTGAATGGAAAGGTGAAAATTCATTGAATTTAAGTCAAATGATGTCCTGAAGACAAGTGGCAGTGAAAGCATTATTACGAAACAGAATAATATTAGTAGAAAAACTGCAAAAATCAATATTTGCGTCAAATTGAATGAAACGCTCGTTTGTCGTCTGTAGTGAGGCTTCGGTTCATTTGTTTTTGTCTTATTAATGGTCAATGAAGACAACGAACCGCTCACTTCACTCACATTACTATCTGTGTCTTTATTATCGCTCCCATAACTAGACTCGCGTCTAATGTATTGCTGACTAATAATAGTATTCCTGAGAATTGTCTCTTTGGAAGTGTTGTATTCTTTGCTCCTGTAGTCCATCACATGAGTTGAGGAACCGTTTGTTTTGTTAAATAACGAGAATCGATTGGCGAACGCAAACTCACCTAAAGATAAGCCAACCATTAGTTACAGTCAATTGAGAAAAAAAAACAATTTTTAAAAAGTGATAAAAACTTACTCGTGTCGGAGGGGGTGACAGAAGGGGGCGGAGTCACCAAACCTAACATATCGTTATTAATCCAATGCGAAGATCTCAACAAATGTTGAGTGCTTTGCAGATACGGCGAGTCATTTAAGTATCCTTTTCGGGGACTTTTAGACGGACTTTGACTGGCTTTGAATGGCGAGACCCAAGAGGTCTGTGCGATCGACTCGTAATTGAATTTTGCCGGAACTATAATATTCTTGGAGTAAGTGTTACCATAAACTAGCGGTGAATTAACCGACAAATCAATCGGTTTTGGCGTTTCATTTCTCATCGGTTGCGGTCTTTGAATAGGTTTTAATTCCGTATATTTCAGAGCACTTCCGTCAACAATAGACAGTGATTTGATTTGTTCGTCAATCAAATGGTCAGCACTCGTATCGTTTGACTTAACGATCGTATTCTTCGGCTGTGTTTTATTGGAAACTCCTTTCAATCCATTATTCATTGGACTTTGAAATGACTTTTTCTCACTTTTTGTTTGCTTAAGTCGTTTGTAAATAAAGCCAAACAATAGACACAAAGAATTGATTGTCAAAAGAATGACGAGAAGAGTAGATATAAGGACTCGAAACAAGACTTTGTCGTAATTATCGATTATTTTTGGGAATTCACTCAACACTAGAAGAGTCCACAAGAAGAGGAATATTAGACGAAATAACGATTGCCTTTCGCTCAATACGATTAACGTTAGTGAAGACATTAGACCACAAAATATCACAAATGTTTGATTTGATAAATAAAAGTATAAAAATTGATTCACTTTTGGAGGAAATTCAATGAATGAGATCTCAGTTCTGTCTTGAAATTCATTGGCAGAGAAGACGAACAAAATGAGTCCAAACCCTATGATTAACACTTCCAGTAGAGGTCTGACAATAAATAGCAACCAATTCTTCGCTCGCATATTGCTTTGCGAGACAAACACTGAATCCGTGTCCCGATTGACACTCACAGTCCTTTTAATGAGTTCTTTGACAAAGCCTTTGAAGCAATTGATTGGTTTCGACAAAATATGTCTCACATTCGCCTCACAATCGGCGCATATCTTGTACTCGTTCTCCAAATGTCTCTTATATTCCTCCAATTCTTCGTTATATTTATTTTCATTGAATGGCAAGAATTCAGACAAGAGTTTGACTTTAATCTCTTGATTTACATTACATTCGCCGCAAAGTTGGCCACAGTTTGCGTAGCACTCGGGAAGTGGTCGACAAAAGCGGCGATCCGTTTGTTGTGTGTCCTCCGACTGTCCGGTAATTACTTTATTATAGTTTCCGTCCTTTCATTCAAAGATAACACGGCTTTAAAACAAACCATTGATTGACACAAATTGCATATACAATACCTGAGAGAATCCGTTGTATTGAAGACATTGGACACAATTGAATGCATTTGTTTGACTAAATAAGACATATTGTCTTTGATGGCAGAAATGGCAAAACACTTGCATTGGATACCATTGTATCCTAAATAGTAATCATTATAATTATAACAATTGGTTATTGTTTAACAAAATATTGTGTTTTTGTAAAAACCGGTACTTTTTGTCACACAATTCAATACAAACCTTATTTTGCGGATTAAGTAAACGAGAAGTGATATGAAGAGTGATGTGAAGAAAATGATGTCCACGTATTGACTAAAACCCATCATTGGATGAGAAGATGGTATGAATTATAAGACAAAACAAAATGATTGCTAAATTCAGTGAATGAATGAATCGATTGATTATTTCAATGCATTTTCAATACGAAATGCAAACAATGCTTTCAAAGTGTGTTTTCGCGCATAAGTAGCGACACTTTGTAATGAATTTATTATTTATTTTTACTGTAGAGTATACTGTATAAAGAATTTGGTTATTATAGCATAACTTTTCTATAAAATTGTTGAATATTCAAATTCCTGATATTTCAAACTATTTCCATAATTAGTTTGAATGAGTTTGTGGTGAATCGCAATGAGTCGACAATCAAATGATGACTGACAGCCAACTATGCAAAAGTTGTGACAAACCTTTAATATTGTTAACAATCTAAACATACTTACAATATGTTTGTATGACATGTAAATTACTCAAGTAGATTGACTCACAAATGATGACCAATCAAAGTTAAATCACTTTCTGAGTAACTTTAAATATTAATTGTAACTTTTATTAACCAATATTTTGAATACTTCTCGTTTAATAACAATTTAACATAACTGTGCCATACATTCAAGTCTTTCGTTAATCACAATCGGTATTAATAGATATTTTTTAGATAATTAATCAATATTTTTAAATTCGTATATATTTTCATAAATAATAAAAAATTAAGTGAAAAAAGCTAACAAAAAACAGATCTTTGGCAGACTTGCAATAAATTGCAAATACAATACAATACAGTTTGTTGTCATTGAATTGTAAATTTCCAATGATTTAAATGATTATAAATTAATGTTAAATATAAAACAAATGATAAAACGATTTTGAAATATAAGAAGTGGACATTAATTCCAGTCCTAAACGGGATCTCAAATTAAAATCTGTGGAAATAACTAAAGTTCAATTAATTGAGAAAATAATATATTTTTAAATAAGATAACAAAATTGCGTTAATTGTAATCCATTATCACTTGACTGGTAACTGATCCAAGAGGTGAGAGGCTGCCATTTCCATATCATAATTGGCTACCATTAGGGCCTTTTCGCACTCATATTTGGTACAAATACAAAAATTGCGTTAATTGTAATCCATTATCACTTGACTGGTAACTGATCCAAGAGGTGAGAGGCTGCCATTTCCATATCATAATTGGCTACCATTAGGGCCTTTTCGCACTCATATTTGGTACAAATACCTAATTTCATGAGTTCTGACAATTGGAGTTCTTTGAGAGCGGCGACGGCATCCATATTGTTCTTATACAGCGCTGCAATGCACTCGTCTTTAGTGGCACTGTTCACTCGCTTCTGCAGTCGCGTCACCACAGACTGCGGGAAATCCATTTTCGTGGGCAGTGATGACCCGGGAATCGAGTTATGACTGACGCCGAGTCCGTAGATTGACTCACGACTCGGCGCCGACGGGTTCACGAGAAATGGCTTCACGTGCGCTGTGTTCGCGTTGTTCGTAGTGTTGGCGCTGACGGGCGATGGTTTGGTCGGCAGACATACCGTCGCAAACGTTGTATTCAACAAAACAGTGCTGAGAGCGGGAGTGACATGAGTTGGAGTGTGAGTAGTGGAAGCGGCGTTGGATCGCCTGTTTGTTGAATACTTTGGCGGCGGCTCTAATACTGGTATTTGTGGGGCGTTTGGCTTTGTTCTACGGTTGGTCTCAAAGTTGTTTATTGTCTGATTCGATGGGTTTATAAACTTTGATTCCAGTTCATCAATGAATTCTTTGCTCAATTTAGTTATGCTTTCGCTCTCAGTATTTGTAGGAATCGGTGGACAAATGTTTTGTAATGTATTTGGAGTTATAGTTTGTGGCGATTGAGTGAAACTAATTTCGCTGAAGCGGGAAATCCATTTTCGTGGGCAGTGATGACCCGGGAATCGAGTTATGACTGACGCCGAGTCCGTAGATTGACTCACGACTCGGCGCCGACGGGTTCACGAGAAATGGCTTCACGTGCGCTGTGTTTGCGTTGTTCGTAGTGTTGACGCTGACGGGCGATGGTTTGGTTGGCAGACATACCGTCGCAAACGTTGTATTCAACAAAACAGTGCTGAGAGCGGGAGTGACATGAGTTGGGGTGTGAGTAGTGGAGGCGGCGTTGGATCGTCTGTTTGTTGAATACTTTGGCGGCGGCTCTAATACTGGTATTTGTGGGGCGTTTGGCTTTGTCCTACGGTTGGTCTCAAAGTTGTTTATTGTCTGATTCGATGGGTTTATAAACTTTGATTCCAGTTCGAGTTACTTAAGAAACGAGTTAAATCAATACGAAAGCGAGAGTCATAAACATCCTTAGCCACCTGTTTACAAAACATTACATAAACCTCAATATCAAACACCGCTAACTCACTTTGATTAAAGCGACTCTTTTGTGCCCAACCACTCAAATGGACGCTCAATAGCCTTCAACTCGTTGTCTGAGTTCGTGGCGAATATGTTTGGTGTCGACGAAGAAGAAGACCACTGAATCTGAGATTCATCGCCGGACGCGACGGCAGAATAATATCGCCCTTTATTTGAAAGCGATTCCTCGTTATTGACGGAAACATCTGAAGATTCAAATGGCGGCGAATAATATTTGGAAGTATTGCCTGAGTCTTGTGGACCAATAGGAAGATTACAATACGTCCGTAAATCCGATCGCTCTTCCGGCCAATCAGTTCTGATGGGAACCGACTTCCCGTTTGATTCCGAAGTTTGACTCATTGAACGCATAGCTCTGTGAGTGTCAGTCATTATTTGTTGAGCGGTGAATGAATTAACGGACATTTCATCGCTTAAGTCAATTAATATGCCGTCCGTCTGACCATTGGTCTGGTCTTCACTCCAATTATCGGTTGCGGTCTTCAGTTGTGTGTAAGACAACGAACGGCGCGGAAGATTCGATGCATTAGTCTTATAAACCATCACTTTTTCATTTTGGAGTTTATTATATCCAAATTGATTCAGTTTTTTCGATTCTATTTGCTTGAAGTCAGACAAATGTATAGTTTCTGAAAATATATTGATTAAAATGCAAATCATTTATCATTATAAATGCAATAATAATTTACTTTTGTTTCTATTGGCCAGCTTTGGGACAGAAGGATCATCGGTGTCGATTCCAAGAACATCCGGCGGTTCCATTGGATTCTTCAAATACATGGTATCAATGTATGCGGGATTACCCCACGACTCGGCCCCATGTCCTCCATGGCCGGCGTGGATAAAACTATTTCTTAACGGTTTACTTATATCTTTTGATTTGATTGTATTATTGCCGGAAATACAACGCGGAAAATAGCCGATAGAGTATGTCCTCTGATTCTGTCCTCTCCACCAATAGTTCTCGGGTCGGCCTTCGATAACATGGATTTCATCGCTAACTTCAACCTTTAAATAGATGTTAGCACTGCTCTCAGTCTTATCGGTCGCCAGTTTGGGATGATTTTCAGGGTTTCCGTCAAACATTGTCAGAGCTTTCAGTTTGTGTGGACGAGACTCGCAAAAGAATGCCTTCAATGCTTCAAATGTGGGCCTATCGTTGGGTTTAGGGGCCCAACACTGTAGTAATAGCTGATAGATCTCAAAGGGACACGCATTTGGTTGCGGTAAGCGTTCCTCTTCCTTATCAATCTTATGGAGAATCTGCGCGCCGTTCAGTCCAATCCATGGCTCGTGACCGAAGGTAAACATCTCCCATAGCGTGACGCCAAACATCCTTTACAATCACAACAATCAATAATAATTAAAATGCAAAACTAAACGCAATATAAATACAAAAACAGTACAAACCAGGTGTCACTGGCGTGAGAGAACTGTCTGGACTTAAGCGATTCGGGTGCACACCAGGGAAACGGCACTTTCTTGTGCTCATTCATGATATAGCAGTCTTCGTGTGAGGGAATCGCTCGCATGAGTCCGAAGTCTCCNATATAAATACAAAAACAGTACAAACCAGGTGTCACTGGCGTGAGAGAACTGTCTGGACTTAAGCGATTCGGGTGCACACCAGGGAAACGGCACTTTCTTGTGCTCATTCATGATATAGCAGTCTTCGTGTGAGGGAATCGCTCGCATGAGTCCGAAGTCTCCGATCTTGATCTTGTCGTTCGCGGAGAGCAATACATTACGCGCCGCCAGATCTCTGTGTATGAAACGCTTTGACTCCAAATAAGCCATTCCTTGCGCTATTTGTATCGCGTATTCAATCAATGTTGATATCGATGTGTGTCCGCACTCTTTGCGCAACCGATCCCTTAACGAGCCTTTGCTCGCGAGTTCTGTAACCATCATCATTGGCGACGACAATACGATGCCGTAGAGTCGGATCAGGTTGTGGTGACTTAACTGATGCATTGCATTCACTTCTTTCTCGAAGTCTTCCAAAGCTGTTGGTTGTGACAACACTTCCTGTTTCAACACTTTGACCGCCACTTCTTTAGTCTTGCCATCGCTTAGAGTCCACTCGCCTTTCAATACAACCTATCGGTGCAAACACACAGACATTCAATTACTTTTAGTCAAATGTTTTCATATTTTTGTAATCTATAAACTAATCGACTCATTAAATTACATACAAGAATGCATTACAAGACTTTTTAGTTTCATTGATTTATCAGATTATGCATTTATCATGGATGCAATATTTATAATAGTTAAAAATATAAGGGTAATTTAATAACTGTACGTATAATAAATAAGTAATATCATCTTGCTATCATTTAGATTCTAAATTAAAAAAAATATACGGGTATTTTATAAAAACTATAAATTAATTAAATAATCTAACCAAATCTTTAATACAAATAAATATATTTTACAGTTATTCAATTTCGTACTAAATGATAAGAATTTATTGATTCGTTTAACTTTTTGATGATTTAAGCAATAAATATAATCATTTTTATATCGTATTACAGTTTTCAAGGAAAACATACTTTAATTTTACAACTAATATTGATTAATGGTAAATGGTCCTCATTGCCTTATCTGTACCACCCTCACCCTCCCCAGAAAAAACCGAAAATTCTTTCAAGAATATAGGTTAGATTCAAATACATATTTATTTAAATAATTTTATACACTCTAATTATGAGATGTATTACCGCATAGGGATTAAGTAACGCATAGAATCATCGCTAGGATTAAAATATAGAATACATTTATTGCGATAATTAAATAAAATAAAACTATTTATTGCGAGTGAAGGCATTATAGCGACAACAACATAGGACTCACAGTTTTAGTATAAAATATTGTTATTTATTTAAAAATAAACCAATAATTGAAAATAACCCATAATTTACCAAACAGTATAATAGTAATTGCGTTAATGAGTCTATAATTAAAATAAAAGCTACAATTAAAATGTTTACGATTGGATTCCGTGTGACAATGAATCGGGTAATTGGGAATCGATTGCAAACATTCAGGCTTTTCATAGCATATCCTAAATATGGATCAATTGTATCGCTAACTATATTTTGGTTTGTAGTCAACAAACACCTGATTTTCTCAACAATAAGACTCAATACTATTCAAGTGTTTGCTTCAAATAGCAGTAAATGAATGGCAAAAAGAGATATACAAATTCATACCCCAAACGATCCGTCGCCTAATTTATTCAATGTCTTAATGTCTTTGCTTTGTATTAAACACGTCAACCCATTAGCCGTTGCGGTCGATGTCAATGAGTTTCGTCGAGCGGTCGCCGATTGGTTGTTACGCTTTGAATGGTTAGAACAGAGTCTTCGTCCACTTGTTTCGGCCGATAAGGCGGCGGAAGGGGTTTGCCGTCCTCTCCCAACACCTCTTCAGTACATTCGGCCGCTTTGTGGCCCTCTTTCTTACAGCGCCGGCACTCGTTAGGACCCGACCTCTCCTTCTGGGGCTCCGGACACTCGCGAGACATGTGACCGTCTTGGCCGCAGTTGAAACATTTGCCGCTTCCGCCGCCGCCGCCTCCTCCACCACCACCGCCGCCACCGGAAGCAGTAGCGCCTAATCCAACCCAAAAACACGTTATTAATAAAATTAAACCATTTTAAACACTGGTATATATACCGGAATCGCCTCCCGTTCCGCCCCAATCGAAGTCATCGGTGGCGCCATTAGTGGTCGCTTTGACGGAATCGCTTGTTCCCCACTCATCAGTGCCGCCGCCGCCGCCATTGGTCTGCTGTCGGGGACGACTCACTTTGGGTTTAGTGCAGTCTCTGCTCCCGTGACCCGTTTCCTGACAGTTATAGCACGTCATGGGCCGCGACTTCTTGGGCTCCGAACACT